GTGCTGCAAGTGTTGCATATGATGTCCATCTACTGGCACCGGTCCGGCAAGAATGCGGAGCTCGAACTCCTCACCACTTTCACCAATCGCTTGCATTTGTCCCAAACCACTGAAGAAGTGAGTGATGAACGCAAACCATTGATTTGTTTTGTGTTTTTCTTTTCAGTACATCTGATGTTAAGATTAATTTGTATTATTGTTTGACCCGAAGGTTGGCATTGATGTCAAAGATCTGTTGACGAGTTTATCGCATCTAACGCTTTGACTCCATGAACCCAATAGTTTTCTATTATACAGTATTTTTAATAAGTTTACACAGAATTTATTTCATATGAATTTTATTTATTAAATTTAGACAATTTAATCCATTAAACCAAATCAAAACCCATTAATCCATTTATTTGCTATATCTTTAATGAATTATTAAAAATAAATTTTACCGTAAAAATAATACTGGTGTATATTATTATAAATACCAATAGTACTGGTAAATATATTTTTAATACTATTGTTGTTGTACGGTATTACCCGGTAGTATAGCACCGTAAACATTGTGAACTATTAATAGTATTTCCGGTATATTAATACTACCGGTACAGTATGGTATGTTGTTTAGTACAGACTCTGTACTTTAGTTTGATTTAAATCTCGAACTGAACTCACATTACAATCCAATAGTTCCCATAAATATACTTTTGATAATAAAAGTCATATCAAAATAGAAACACTAATAAAACTCATACCATTAATTAGGCTTATTATCTAGTAATTTTATTTTCACTGACACTTCGTGTGATTGCCTGTCCTTGGACTGTTGAACTGACCGGTGGGTGGGGGGAGACGTCATCCCTAAAACCCCCGATAGTAACAAGATATGCCGGCACACTGTTTGTCCCAATGGTTAGGATTCAATATTTTTGATTGAAAGAACATTTTGTTATAAATCATTTGTAATAAAAGTAAAAATTTTATTTCATATTTAGTCGTAAGAATTAAACACAACTCGTATTATAATCTCAAAATATACGATAAAAACAGATCCTATAATGAAACCATGATTTTGAGCACATAATTGTCATATTTAGTTGTCCTTAAAGTTTGCGGCCCTCTTCTCGATGAATGCCTTCATTCCCTCCGATCTGTCGCTCTATTCATTATAAGACAATAGGACTGTTAGCCAACAAAATAGCAATTAAATCAATTCGTATCATACGGTGGCAAACGTGGCGTGAAAGTAGCGCTTCTCTGACTTCAGACCTTGACTTAGAGTCGTCTCATATGCTGTTCAAAGAGTTGTCATTCATTTAAATAAGTTTGTTATTTATATCATTTCGTATATAATATTAGACATACGAACCGGTATTAACAGATTCTTTACAAATAGCGACAATTAGTTTAGAATTATTGGCAATCTTTTCACCCAATTTGATGGCTTCGTCCACCACTTTGTCCGCCGGAAACACTTTACTAACCATTCCTATAGTAAGGCATAAATATGACAATCTTAACCTAAAGTCAATTCAAAACGGGTGTCAAAACTGACCCCAACTCTCAGCCTCTTTAGCCGTGATTTGATTTCCAGTTAAAACCATTTCCATTGTCCGAGATTTGCCGATAACTCGGGTCAGTCTCTGAGTTCCACCGGCACCTGACGTCCAGTGTATACAATAAAAGGCTTATCAGTAAACATAGAAGTGATGGCATGATATTCACTCAGATATTAATGGTAATGATGTGCACTAAGAATACTACACTCTATACAGTGTTTAGAGTAAACAAATCAAAACATAGATAAACTGATTAAAAGTTCAATTCCGGAGTACTTCTCGTGTACTCGACTCCGAGTAACTCAAGAACTCATCAAATGATAGCAAATGCTATTCCAAAGCGTATAACAATTACACGACATTTGATAATATAAACTAAATTCACGGCACAGACCAGGGATGGCACCGATGAGTATCTCCGGCTGACCAAACTTTGCGTTGTCGCCGGCGTATACGATATCACACATGAGCGCCAACTCGCAGCCGCCGCCCAACTGTCACACCAAGCGTTCAACTCATTGATAATATCGCACTAAGAATATCATGGCGTATGTCTTACGGCGTATCCATTGACGGCGGCGATGGTAGGCTTCACAGA